TATGCTCTGGATTAGTCACTATAATGTTTGTATAAGAAGATTGGAAACAACCTAAATGTTGAGTAATAGGGAACTGGTTAAATAAACACTGATAAAATACTATACCACCAAAAATGGAAATGAGGATACTTTCCCATCCTGGGTTTTTTATATACCTATATTTGTGTGCGTGTGTGTATATATAATCTGTATATGTAGTGGGATGTTACCAATTGTGTAAAAAAGTTTAAAAAATTTTTACATACATAATGCCAGTACATCCTGCAAAAATCTCAAAAAGTAGATACAAAAACTGCCTGTGGTTGAGGACAGGGACAGGGGGAACAAACATACTTCTCACTGTGTATTTTTACAGCATTTGAAGTTTGTGCCATGTGAATATATAACCTATTTAAAATAAATAAAATTTAAAATTTAAAAAATACATTACAATAGGTGCAAGGAAAGATGGGGGTCCACTGGCTGACCACAGAGGATATGCAGGGGACGGGACTGAGGACGGGGGAGTCCTGGGGCAGGTAACTCGGGGGCCGAGCCCTGAAAGATGAACAGGCATAGATCACTAACGTAAGGCAGAACCAGGTTCTTCACAGAGGCAGGGGCGCATAATCCGATAGGGTCCATTTAAGGGAACAGCGGTATTTTAGTTTAGCTAAAGTTCTTGGGGTTCCAGAAAAACCAGCAGCTCTTGCCTATTAAGTCAAGAAGTCGAGGCTTTTCCCAGAAGCAATAAAAGGAAGGAGCGGTGGCCTGATCAGGTTTGCAGTTCTTCAAGGTAATTCTGGCCACCGGGTGGGGAGGAGTTGACAGGAACCTAACTCAGAAACTAGGTAGGGACCTCATTCCTTTAATGGAAGAAGCAATGATGCAGAAGAGGGAACAGAGACCAGAGGGATTAAGGAGTTAGCATCAACCAGGTTTTGGAACTGATTCCACAGTGAAGGGGGCGGGGGGCAGTAATCAGGAATAAAGGAAAACACCAGCGATCTCACCTGGGTTGCCATTATCTGACAGGAGAGCCTGTGGCAAAGAAGCAAATTTGGGGCTAGGAGAGGAAGAAATAGTTTCCGGAGGAGGCAGAAGGATGGGTTTGAACCTGTGGGTATATGTACGTGGGCACTTTGACTCAAATCTCTGAATCTGTGTTACTTCAATTGTAAAATGGAGCTAATATCTATCTTAGAGGATTATTTTAATTGTGAAGTAAAATATTTTATATACAGGACCTACCACATTGCCTGGACCATAGTAGGTACTTAATAAGAAGCACCCCTGGACACAGTAGAAATTATATATTATAAAGAAGTCTCTACAACATAGAAATGCCTAGTTCACCAAGGTAGGGATTTCAAGGAAATTTTTACAAATTAACGAATGTTGCTATTCGATTGATTCCAAGCTTCATTCCTCTGGGTCCCTAGACCAGCCCTTCACCTTGACAGTGCTGTGACCAGTTAGGAGTGTGGACCCAGGACCGCAGCTCTCTCACCAATGCTGGGCATGCAACTCACAGCCCAGGCTTTTGCTGAATGGAAAATGCACTAGGACTGGTCAAAACTGGCTTGTTTCGATTCAAGGCAAACACTAGCATCTGTAAACCCCCAACGGCCAGACCAACCGGATAACTGTTTGGGGCGTTTCACTTCCTGTGTTGCATGTGTCAAACCTCTCACTGTGCCCGCAGAGCAAACCCAGACGACCACCCTACCGTGTGCTCGCGGGCAGGACTCAAGGACAGTGACTTCCGAGGAGTTTCCGGGGAAGATGGAGTCTGCAAGGAGAGTACACTCCAGCCCCCTCTAAATCCAATGTCACCATGTTTTCTGTAATCACACATGACCTCAAATTGCCTGCAAAATCAGGAATAAAAAAAGCCCAAGAGCTACCATGCAGATGTGAACAAAACACTATTCCCTACATCATGAGTATTAAACTAAGTCTATTTACTCCTTGTGTCTCTTACACTTGATTTTGAAGATATACTCACATTGGTCTTATCAAGGAAAAAAATCATAGGGATTTTTGATAATAAGAAGTATCCAGAAATATGTAAGTTGTGTTTCTCTCAAAGCCAGTGCCCTGAACACTTTCATGGCTGAAGTACCAGTGATGGTCAGAAAATGAGATGTTTGTTCCCCAGACTGCCACTCTCCTGGGGACACGCTCTAGAGTAGCTCTGTGGGTCTGACCTGCAGGACCGGGCTGCCCTGGGGGGGAGAAGAGAGACCAAACACGGTCTTTCTAATATGACCAGCCCTATGCCCTGCAGTAGACGTGGGGCGCCACATGGACCTGTTTTATGCAAATTGCCCTAACAGATTTGTATTATAGAGTGGCTATAATCTATTTGATATGCACAGATCCACTGTAAGCACAGAGGTTAACTGCCCAACACATATGTTATATGAAACAGAAAAGAAATATTAGCCAGAACCCAGTGATATTCAATTCAAGGCCAAAGAAACCAGATAACGAAAGTCAGAAGCTTAATAAAATTAACCTGAAAACTGACAACTTTGGGCAGCCCACTGGAAAAGCTGCTCATTTGGGGGCAGCCAAGACCCCAAAACCCCCAAAAAATGAGGATAGTATAAGCAGCCTCTGGGACAACTTAAAGAGGACCAAAATTCACATCATAACGGTGCCAGAAGGAGAAGAGAAAGAACAAGAAATTGGAAATCTACTAGAAAAATAGTGAAAGGAAACTCCCTAAATTGGTGAAGGAAATAGACATGGCAGTCCAGGAGCACAGAGAGTCCCAAATAAGATAGATGTGAAGAGGCCCATGCCAAGATACATCATCATTAAAATGCCAAAAGTTAAAGATAAAGAGAGAGAGCCTTGGCTGGTATAGCTCAGTGGACTGAGCCCGGGTCTATGAAGCAAAGGGTCGCCGGTTTGATTCCCAGTCAGGGCACATGCCTGGGTTGCAGGCTGGGTTCCCATTAGGGGACACATGAGAGGCAACCACACACTGATGTTTCTCTCCCACTCTTTCTCCTTCCCTTCCTCTCTCTCTAAAAATAAATAAATAAAAATATTTTTTAAAAAGATAAAGAGAGGATCTTAAAAGCAGCCAAAGAAAAGAAGTCAGTTACCTATAGGGGAGTTCCCATAAGACTGTCAGCTGATTTCTCAAGAGAAACTTTGCAGGCTTGAAGGGATTGGCAAGAAATATTCAAAGTGATGAAAAGCAGGGACCTACAGCAAGATTGTTCTACCCAGCAAAGCTATCATTTAGAATCAAAGGGCAGATAAAGAGCTTCCAAGACAAGAAAAAACTAAAGGAGTTTATTATCACCAAACTATTATTATATGAAATGTTAAAGGGCCTTATTTAAGAAAAAGAAGACCAAAACTATGAACAATAAAATGGCAAAAAATGCATAGCAAAAATCGCATCCAAAAAACAAACCCAGCAAACAAGAAGAAGAGAGACAGAATCGTGGATACAGTGAGCATTTTGATGGTTGTCAGATGGGAGGTGGGTGAGGGAGAATGAGTGAAGAGGTGAGATGATTAAGAAGTGCAAATAGGTGGTTACAGAATAGCCATGGGGATGTAAAGTACAGACAAGAAATGGAGTAGCCACAGAACTTAACCCACATGACCCATGGACATGAACAAGGTAGGGGACTGCCTGAGGGAGTGGGGGGTGCTGGTTGGGGGTAGGCAAAGGGGGAAAAATCAGGACAACTGTAATAGCATAATCAATAAAATATCATTAGAAAATAAATAAATGAAACATTCCGTTCCAAGATTCCATAAATTACCATTGGTTTCTGGATGCTGTCCCTGTTCTTCCCCAAATTCCCTTTGTAATTCTTCTCTACTGGGGCATTCTGTGCTGTCTCTTTCCTCACCAATAAAATTCCAACATTTTTCTTGTGAGAATAAGGAGTGAGCAGTCTTCTTGGGATTGTCATAGGTAGTGTGAGACGTGCTGGTGGACAAAATACTGCCCTTCTTCTTCCTCTGAGCATGGCAGAGATGCTGGGACCCGCACTCTGTCTATGATTGTCCATGATTGTCCACAGTGCCTGGGTGAAGTGGGGGACCAGATGATGGAGGGTGGTGAGCTCCTCCCAACCCACTTGTCAACACCAGGCCTGAGAACCATTCCTGATGGGAATTCAAGAGGGACTGTTGCTTGCTTCCACGTGAAACTGGCACCATTGGGCCTTTTCCCACACAAAGGTTCTGTGCCTCAGGAACTACTGTGGCCATGCTCTAAAAACTGAAGATCTATGACTCCCCATCCGAGCAGAAGACAATTCCGGGACTGCCACACGAGAAAGTTAAAGTGATTTTTAATAAACCAATCTTCACTAACACATGAACCTCCCTGAAGCCCAAAGACGTCCCAGTAGTAATAGATTCCCCAACTCCGGGCATCCAACCACTCCAGCTATCCATGCTTTCAGCGAAGACAAGATAATTGAGGCTGATTGTCACATGTCTAATTTCACACTAAACTAACTCATGGCGGAAAGTAACAAACTATCCTAGCAGGGCGGCACAGCAGCTAAACCTCCGGTCGCCTATCGCCCCTAGGAAAGCCAGAAACCTTTGGGGAGCCCTTTATTCAGGCGTTCCTGGGCGCGCACTCGCTTCTCACAGGCGCGAACGAACACACTCAGGCACCACACACACAGTAGGGGACTTAGTTTTCTCTTCCTCAGAGCAGCCATTCACAGTCCCCAACATCTAATCCTCATCCTCATCCCCAGAACACACGCCTCCTCTAGCCTCCGCGCCGCACACGTGGGGAAGCGCGCCCAGGTGGAGCCAGAAGGGAGGAGGGCAGCGCAGAGTTAGGGAGGGCCAAAGATGAGGGAAGAGGGCGCTCCGAGTGGGCTGTGGGATCTCAGGTCCCCAGGTCCGCGTCGATGCCACGTAAACTGCTGGAAGGACGAGTGGGAGAAAGGAGAAAAGCTGAGGGAAAGGCAAAGAGGAGAGGCGAGGGGACTGGGGGAGGCGGTGGGGGAGGGGCCGCTCACCCAAGGTTTTGACAGCGATCTGCCTGGTGAGAGGCGGAGGCAGGTTGATGCACACCAAGTCCACGTCCTGATGCAGCAGCACCTCGTCAATGCGACTGGTATAGAAGGGAACGCTCATCTCCTTGGCTAGCTCCTCCGCCTCCTCCGGTGTGCGGCCCCACAGCGCCTTCACTGCGAAGCCCTCGTCTTTCAGCAGCGGGATGATGACTCGGGCGGTGAGGCTGGTGCCGAACACGCCCACCCCGGGAAGCATGGCTGCTCGGGCTTGCCTGGTTCAGCTTTAGCTCGGCTCTCCAGTCCAACACGCTCGCCCACACCCCTCTAGCCAGTCCTGCACCCGGCTCGCCTCTGTGCGCCAGCCGCCGTGCCCTGGGCAAGGAGCCCGGGTGCCGAGAGCGCACCCAGCTGCAGGCAAAGCAGTCTCTGGGAGCCTCAGTACAGTGACTGCTGCAGAGTCCGCCACGCGGGGCTCCAGTCCTTCCCGGAGGCGGCGGCAGAGACGCCCCCAGGGCGCCCGAGGCCCCGAAGACCCGAGGAACCTCGGTTCAGGCTGCACACCCGCCGCAGCACCAGCCAGCTCCGTGCGCCCCGCGGAGGCCACTCCATGGCCGGCTCATCCCCGCACCCGCGCCAATGCAGCCTGGGACTGGTTCTCTCCCGCGTCTTTTCCGCAGCCGGCCAGTGTCGCACGCACAAGCCTCTACAGGCTGCCAGAGCTAGGCACGGCTCCGCTGCGGGGTCCCCTTTCTCCCCGGCGCTCAGCCCAGAATGAAATAATTCAGCGGCCACCAGGAGGCCGGCTAAGCACGAGGCTCTGAGGGCGCCGCGTGCAGATCTTGAGCTGCAGCGTGGCGACAGCGACCGCAGAGGCCACGACCCGGCGCCAGCCTTCTCATTCTGCTGCCATCTTCGCTCGCAACACGGCTCGGGCTGCCTCGGCCGCGGCCGGCTCTGCTCCGGGATCCCGCGGGGACGAGGGCGGAGTTGGGGAGTTTGGCTGTCAGTGGCCGGGTGTTCCTGCACCGCCCCCGCCGCTGCGCCGCGCGCCATTGGCCGCTGCGCACCGCCCCCACCCTGCCGCGGCGGCGGGCTCCGGGCGCGCGCTGCGCGGGGCCCAGGAACCCAGGCCGACTCCTCCCAGGCGCCGCCTCACTCGCCTCCTGGCCCTGCGCTCCTTTCCTTTCTTTGCCCTCCACCGCCTCCTTCTCCTTCTCTCCTCTTTCCAAATCCCGCCCCAAGCAAGCTAATAAATCTCTCAAGGCAGAGCGCGCCCTCACTGACTAGCCCGCGGTCCCTCGGAGGACAGCAGCTGGTCCCTGGCCTCTGGGCCAGGGGTCCCAATGAAGTGTGAGCAGCGGGTAATTACAGCTTCTGTCCCGGAGCTTTTTCCGCGGGCGGGAAACCGCGGCATTCTCTACTTTAATCCTCTGACCACCCCTAAAGTTATTGGTAACCCATTTAACCGATGATGTAACTGAGTCCTGGGAAGGTTTAGTGACCTGGGAAAGGTCACACCACAGGTAAGCAGCTGGCATGGGATTGGAAACCTGACTCCAGAAGAGCGAAGAACTGGAGAGTTCTCCTCTCTGCTAAAAAAAAAAAAGCCTGCTCCAGTCGTGTGCCACCCCTCGGTTCCCGCACTCGTGGCCCAGCGGCTTCCTCCCAGACAATCTTGTCCGGACGATCTAGCTCTGCTTTCCCCCCGCGAGGCCGACGTCTGCCTAAACGCTGTTGTACTTAGTGGCCTCAAAGGGGCAGGGATCCCAGAAGGAGCTGCAGCACACGTGTGTCCGCGTCTCTGTTCAGAGACAGAGGGGTAACCCTGACCAGATGTCACACCAGCCTCTCGGTTTGGCTCAATGGCTCCTTTCGCTGCTGCTTCACACGGCCTCCACTCCCTTCCTTGTACCTGGTTGACAAGTACCTAAGCCTTGACAATGACAAGTACCTAAGCCTTGACAATGACAAGTACCGCGGTGGAGGGGAAGGCTCGGGCTTGGGAACCCTGAGCTTATCTGGTTTCCCGCCATTTCCTCAGCACCGATCTCACTGTCTGCCTGGCATGTAGTAGGCATTCAATAAACATCTGCTAAATAAGTAAATGAATATTCATCGAATGCCTGCTTTGCGCCCAATTGGTGGTGGGAGAGGAGACCCGAAACTGAGGCAAGGGACCTCGCCTCTAGCTCAAAATCTCTAGAGAGGTCTGGAGTTCTGTCTTGTTTATCTCTTGTCTTCATCAGTCAGATCAGTGCGGCACAGGTCTGCCTCAGATCATGAGTGGATAACGTGATAAGTACAGGGTCTGGCAGAAGTAATTCCTGCTTGAGTGTGGTTGGTGGTGTAGTAAGTATGTGTGTAATAATTTATAGTTTTAATTTGAACATTTTACCTAAAATGTCATATAGTGGGCTTGAGTGTGATATTATGTTACAGAATTGCATGCTTATGATTTTGTAATAAAAAGGGCCATTATTTGTGCCAGACCCTGTGTTGCAAGCCAGAAACAACTTGTAACAACTTGCAATGAAGCAGGGCACAGTGGAGAGTGCAGGACACCAAGAAAACGTGTGTGTGGCAATGTGGGGAAGAGGCTGACCTCCGGGCCTTAGAAGAAAGGCACAGAGGACACTGAGTGCTCTGCGTGGCTGCCCGTGGCTGGGGAAGGTGTAAGACCAAAGGAGGTATCGCCATCAATACTGACAGGCTTCTTTTGAGTGGTTTGCAAAATCCAAGGCAGGAGTGCCTACTGGGGCAAGGGTGCAGGCAGTGCTGTTAGACACAAGAGGTGGGGTCACGTGTCAGAGATGACACTGCTCACAGCGAGCAGGGGATGTGGAGCTTGGCGCTGAGGTCGGAAGGGGAGCCACAGCACCAGTGGTTGACTCCCGCCTCTGCCATTTAGTAGCTGTAGGAGCTTAAGTGAGTTAGTTCACCTCTCTGCCACAGTTTCATCTGTAAAATCGGGTAATAATGGTATACATTCCAAAGGATTTTAGAGAATTGTGTGGGTTAATTTTTATAAAGTCCTTAGAATAGTGTCTGACACATAGTAAGCTCTATATAAATGTTAAATAAGCATGGAGAGTAGGTCTGTTACCAACATAATTTCTTAATATGAGGACAGTCGTATAAGTGCAGCATTATCTAGCCAGTAAGAGGGAGTTTTGGATTCTTTCAAAGGGAACTTCACTCCCCAGCTTCAGTGTGAATAAAATAAACCTCCCAACATGGGTGTCCAACCTCTTGGAGTCTCTGGGCCACACTGGAAGAAGAGTTGTCTTGGGCCACACATTAAATACACAAATACTAATGTAAAACTGATGAGCAAAAAAAAAAAAGTTTTTAAGTAAATTTGCGGTTTTGTGTTGAGCCGAACTCCTAGCCATCTTGGGCCTTATGCAGCCGGCAGGCTGCTGGTTAGACATTCCTGGATATCCAAAGAAATGATTACCTTTGATTCTCATTGGAAATGTATTGTACAAACATTATCTCCATTTCATAGAAGACAAAACTGAGTCCTAGCAGCCACTCTGCAAGGGTCCAACACAGAACGCTTCATTTCCTCCCCTCCCGCTGTTTCTCCCTCAGCTGCCCCATCTCGGTACATGCCTCTGCCAGCCCGCCAGTACACCAAAGCCTTGGGGCCATGCAGGGCTTCTCTGTCAGACACTGTAGAGCGGGGGTGTCACACTCATGTTCACCGGGGGCCACATCAGCCTCATGGTTGCCTTCAAGGGGCCAAACGCAATTTCAGGACTGTATAAACGTAACTACTCCGTAACTGTTAAGGGAGAGCTCTGCACTACTGCCGGGTAGAAACAAGGGATTGGGCCAGATAAAACAAGGTGGAGAGCTGGATTCAGCCTGCAAGCCTTGTGTTTGCCACCAGTGCTGTATTATATACCTGTTTATTTATCATCCATTTGCCTCAACAGATTATAAACTCACTGACATTAGAAATTTGTGGGTACTGTTCCCTTCTGAATCCCCAAGGCCTAAAATTGTATCCAACACCTGCTGGACACTCTATCTACATACCACTGGTATGTAGATAACCACACATTACTATGAGAATTGTGAGTTAATATTTCTAAGTTCCTTAAAACTCTGCCAGGTGCCACGTGCAAGAAAATTTAAGGCCTGGAGAAGCAAGGCTGAGCATGACCACAGCCTGATCTCAGGTTGCTCATGCCTGGTGGCCCGTAGCTTGGGGACAGGAATTGACAGTGGCAATAGAGTGACAAATGCCATGGGGGGCCTGCAGGGCATGATTTGGGAGCAGAGGAAGTCTTTGAAATCAGAATGGGAAGTCTTTAAAGACTTGCAGAGAGGAGCGGGCTGAACCCACATTTTGAAAGACTTGCTGAAGTTAGGTGGAAGGAAGAGGGGAGAATATTCAAAGACAGAGGGAGGCTAAAAACGGACTAACCCGAGGTGGACGGGTGTCTGTGGAGGAGGCCGGGATGTCATGGAGAATCACTGAAAGACTTAGAGTAGACATCGAACAATCAGATTGGCGTGTTCGAACCATCACTCAGGCTACACCGTGGAAGGTGGATTGCAAGGGGCACACCCAACCCAACCCAACCCTGCAAGGAGACCACTGCAGTAACCTAAGAGCCAAGGAAGGAGGATCAAACAAAGGCGGCGGCATGGCAATGAAGATGAGGGGCAGGTGCTCGAGATGAAACAGGGCACCTGGTGCTCCAACAAGGAGATGAAATCTCCCTGGCCTCGATCCAACCTCTACTATTCGGATTTGGGTGAAGATTGTAAGCCTATTTGAATGTCATTGAAGATAATCATCATGTAACCACAAAGAGAACATTCTAAACCTTCTTTTAGAAATAAAAATAGAAAGGATTCATTTTTTATTCAGAGCTCTAGGATGATGGTACAATGGAATTTCCTGTAATAATTTGGCTTAATGATAATTCAAAATATTTTTATTGTAAAAGTCACTTATACATATTACAGAAATTTCAGAAAATAAGATGACTTCTGCCTTAATCACTCCTCCCTTCCATAGCCACTGTGAATAACTTGGTTTGTTTGCTTGTACAATTTTGGAAATAATATTGTAATGAAAAATAAAAAGGAAAGTCTTGCTATTAGATTTGTGCATTGGTCTTTGTGATAAAAGTAAAAGCAGGTCTTAGTTATTTATAGCTAAGTATAAATACCCAATATCCTAATAAATGTCAGTATTTGTGGAATGAAGTAGTCTCTCCCTTTGTAGAACTGTAGCTTTGCCAAGGGGAAAAGCTTGAATACTTATGGCTGCTGAAGATCCCAGGGCAGCTCTGCTAAACCGTTCCGATGCACATAGTACTGAAATGTGTTCCTGAACAGGTATTCATTAGCAGAGTTTTTAAAAGTGCCCATTCTTGTAGTTAATACCAGCTACCATGTATTGAGTGCTGGCTTAGACAAGGCACTAAGCTAAGCACTTTGCATGCATTTACTCCACAGCCCCTTCAGATACGGCACTAATCCCCATTATGACAGATAAGGGAACTGCTTCAGAGAAAAGGTACCTTGCCTGAGGCTGGTCATACTGGCAAGCATTTGAGTGAGATCACCTGACTCCCCAGTCACACTATATAACCACCAAGCCTGCTGCCCCTGAAGTTAAGTTAGATACCACAGCCCTGATTTGCCCCTGACAACAGGGCCCTCGGCCCTCTAGGGAAGAGAGGCACAGTTGCTTTGTCCTTCTCCCCTTCCCCTAACAGAGGCGCACAGACTCCCTGAGACGGGGTTCACCAGCACTGCCATCCAGGTCAGGACAAGGGGCGGATGCCCACACTGCTGCTTCTGGGGGACCGGCATAAATGGGACTGTGTGGACTACCTCCATCTCTCCCTGGATGCCTCCAGTAGCCTCCTAACAGGACTCAGGGAGAGCTTTGAGCTTTTTTTCCCTCTTTTTAAAAAATGCTTTTTGAAAGGCAGGAACAGTTTATTTTTTAGAGAGAG